CTATCGAAAGCCGATCACGATTCAGGTCACCCAAAGAAAAATAAACAACCATCTCGTATAAAGGAAACAAGAGTAGGTTAGAAAACTAACAAGGTCCTCCTAGAGAGCGGAGATGTGTGACAGTGCAAACATCCAAAAGGTGTTTTAGAAGGCATTTATACTGTCAAGGTTTATTGGGTGATAGGAGAGGGACGGATTAACGGTTGCAACGGATGTTTATCCACGTCAGGGACGCCCGTCGCATCTCCTACCTTCAGCTAACTACAGCGCATGTAAAGGTTTTTGCAGATAGCTTAAAATTTATATGCGGTGGAGATGTAAGGGACTTTGTGAACTTTTTATCTAATATTAAACTTAAAAGCTTGCCTTTATTGAAGATTCACGAATGCTTTAATAATTTTAATGGGAGAACTCATGTCGTAAATATAAGGTCTATTTCGTCAACATGCTCTGAAACTAATTCGACGAATTAGATGTGCGAAATCGAGAGTAAGGCTAAAGCTCAATCTTCCAATTGCATTTTGGCGATGTAACAAAATTCACATGCACAAGCAACGTTACATTAAGGAAAGAAAAATACGACAATTAAACAGGAGAATTTGTGCATAACCAACTGGATCTTTCCCCTCCAAAATATTTCCTCCAAGTGTGCTGAGATTAAAAAAGAATAATCGAGACTTCGCGAAGGTAATGCAAAAATTCTACGTTTTACAGTTACTATGTGCGAACGCTTGGGTAAATAGGGCATTAGCTTTGCATGAATGAGTCGCAAATGCATGAATTATCAGTTGAGCTAAGGGTACTGGCTTCGTGAAGCCCCATTCAAAGTTCAACAAATCTTCGATTGTTTGTAAATGCCCTCGATGGCTTTTGTTGTCTACACCTCTTCGTTGATTTTAAAAATAAACTAGGTATACAGCTCCATAACATCTCGGTATTTCGTCAATGATGGAGTCGTCCAATGAGGACAATATAGCCAAGAATGGGAAAAGCGCAGTGACAGATAGAAGCTAAGGAAAGTAAAAATTCTGATAGCCCAACGCCAAGGCTGCGACGCAAGAAGAATAAATGAGGATTATATGCGTTAGTTACAACACTGCCAGACAGCCACCCTGTCCTTGCCCCATCCTATTACTGCCATAGATTACTAACTGTGACTAGTTCAATTCAATCTCGATTCCTGTTAGCTCGAGGTCTCACTACTATCGCAAATAGATAGTTCTGGATTCAAAGTTCTGGTATTTAATTATGCTATCAAGAAGTCTTCATTTACTCCTTCGGAAGTAAAATAAAAAAACGTTACTAAAGAATGATAAGCTATTAAAAAGCGCTTACAGGTGATAGGACAGCCGTTGTCAAAAGGAGCAGTCCAGACAAGACGAGCAGTGGTCATTGAAACGCCTCCAACAGAAACCTCTGACTCAGATACTGCTCCTGTGATGGACGTCGTTGAGACCGAGGAAGAATCCAGGGCAAGACCAGAAGGCTGGTCAGGTCGAGCAGCAGGCATTACACAACCCCCCACGGGACTCCAACCTCCAGCACCTGCAGAGTTTATAGCTCTCACACGAAAGGCAATCCGCGAAGCTGGTTGCAGATCACGCAGTTCAAAATGACGCTCTAGGCCCGAGTATACCTTGTACAAAATTGAGAGTAAATACCAAATTCAGGTTTTATTATGTTAGGAGGCTAAAAGTGGGCTTAAAATGCCAGTCTTCACACACAGCTGACATTTACAATGCAGTCATACTCACATTCAAAATGCCATAGACTGAGCTAGATTTTGAACATGACGATAAAATATACCGATGCCTAGCTTCATTTGAAATAGTAGGCGGAAGTAGATGACGCTTGAGCTTGCAGCAGTGTAAAAAAGAAAACAGTTCTATGTACTTTTCTGTAAAATGGCAATCCGTTTGGAATGCTGATTCAGTCATCAAGTTTACGTGCCGAAATCATCGCCACTGCAGTCCACCATCACGTTATCATTTCTCAGTGCGGCACAGGCTCGACGTCAATCTCACTCTCCGACGACTTGTTGCGCCCAAGATCCGAGAAAAAGCCGCCCCAACTTACCCTCACCCCTACCCGAAAGTGCACTTATTACCTCCCATTACATCTCGTCTGTGGTCATACGACCATCTAAGGCCACGGAAAAGAGACAATCACTCAAACAAACACTAATAGAGGAATGCACCAGAAAAGGAGCGATAATATGTGACGAAACCGAAGCGTGAGACCCTACACTCCACCCTATCACCGTGCCTTTGTTCGCACCCACCTACCGGTATGGACTGTCTCCAGTGAAGACAAAAAATCTATTTCACATACATACATACATACATACACCGAATGAATATACCTCATCTGCAATTGTTACACGTTCAACAAACCATCAAGTCTCAATGACCAATTCGGCAACGTTTCTTCACATACACTCACGCCCAACCAAACGCCACTTCGTCGTTTAAGAAAGTACGTCAAGCATTTGTTCGAGAATCACCAATGTATTGTTGATTCAATCGCCCAACGTTTCTTCACCTACAAGAGTCGCTTCCCATCCCACTCCAGTCAGTCGACCAACAACCAACTCCGTCCCACACACGCCTTTGTATAACGCAACGTAAGGAGCAATTTAACGACCTTTCCGGTTCCCTATCTCTTATCTGTTCGTGCATGGGAGTGCCAACCATTTTCTTAGCTTCCGCGACTCTCCCCTCCCATTGGGTGTAGGCGCAAGCCATTTGTTTCACACCCACCTCAGGCATCACTGAAATCTCTTCTCCACCCCTTCATTCCTCCTTCACCCCCACCTCTTCCCATTCTTTTCCGACAATGACGATGCGTTTGACTCTATGCGTCTGTTTGAAAGTCTCATCACCAAAACACCTCTAGATGTTGCATTCAAAGACCGCGCACCACATCACCTTCAATGGCCCCACAAAGGAGCTTGCGAGAACCTTCTGCAGTCTTACTAACAACGTCAACACCCTTCATGGCACAGACAAACACGAATTCATGCAGCGGTTTAAACCACCAATCTACCATACATTCACATGCACGCATACTTTCCCCGTGCTCCTTCAAGTCAGAATAAGCAATTTCGTCGATCTGATGTAGGAATCGCATGAACTATTTCGTTACGTGGACCCTTCCTTGGACTAACTAGTAATGAGTTCTGGCACATCTTTTTCCTTCTACTTTCACCTCTCTAGAATGTCTAGCACTATCTTCGAATAAGTCTCCTTCTTGGAAGGCTAAGCCGAAGGAGATGGAGAGCAAGGAGGACGATTTTGCAGCATTCTTAATGCCTTCAACTTCTATCCTGTATTTGCGAAATTTCCTTCAATTGTTGCATTCGAAACTAGTTTGGCATCAGTTTTATTGGCGTACATTTTGATGTAGTATCTTTATTTTCGAAAAAAAGTTGATTTTAAAAAATGAAGGAACTGTACTTTGAATGGTCAGGATCATCAACACGGAATGGACCAGTTGAACTTAGCAAAGCTCATACTATCCATAATGCAAATAGCCCTCATGCATGTGCGTATACGTGCGGGCTTTAGAATCATCGACTTTAGACGGTAAGCAGGGTTAAGGCAGAGAAATAAAAATATAGAAAAAACATGATCGCAATTAATAGTTAATTATCATTTTAAAAACCTACGTGAAAAAGAGATG